TATTTGATTATATTTATCCACAGTTAGTTACACGAATTCAAACATGGAGTTTTAATAAGTTGTATTTATGCATAATTTACTTGTAATCTTGAATTTTAAATAATATGCATCAATATAAAGTAATTCATGCATTAAAAATGGTTTTTAAGAGTTTTTGTCAAATGTTTTATAATATAGTATAGATAGTGTGTAATCTATAAATAGTGTGAATTAATAAAGTCAAATATACAAGAATTGTAATAATATATTCCAAAATATATCAGAGGTTACGTGACGTCGGCCTTCCAGTCTTGGCATGGAGGATGAGGCTTATTATACCGTAAGGTCTATGACCGGGGTAACAAAGGTATCGACGTGTCGTGCATAATTTTTGTTTCGAAACTCTAGTTCAGGCCCATAATATGCCGATCCGAAACTTGAAATGAGGAGCATGTCCTGGGTGGGCCTCGAGATTTTTAAGGCTTCAAAATGTCGTATGAACAGGTTTTTGGACACTTTTTTGTTTTTTTTAATTATATTGTAGAATCAACTGGGTCAATCTTTGTTTACTTATTGCACGCCGCATCATTGTGAAAGTTTGATTTAAAAACGTCACTATCTTGATGGATAATATACGTAAGTAGGGTGTTCATGGGTTGAGTTGATCGGGTTGAAGACATTTGAACAACTCAACCCAATGTTTGGGTTTTGGAAAAATCTTAACCCAACCCAACCCGTACGGGTTGGTCGGGTTAGTCGGGTTGGCACTTCGGTATATTAAAATATTCTTCTAACCTTGAATATGTAATTTCTCTACTCATAATTTTTTTTTATCATCAACCATTTGATACAACTTATCCATATTTCTTACGTATATCACATTAAGTTAATTTTCTCAATTTACATATATATGTTCACAGTTACTGAACATATATATGAATAAGTTATATAGAGATATCAATAGATTGAAAATATATGTATATGAAAAACATACATAATAGTGTAATTGTCGAAATTTATATATTAATATAAATTCAACAATCATATTAAATCCAAGAAATAAAATGATATCGGGTTCATCGGGTTGAGTTCGGTTCGGTTCAAATAATAGTAACCCAATACCTACGGTTTGACAATTTTACAACTCGATTAGATATCGAGTTGTTTCGGATTGGGTTATTTCACGTTGGGTTGGATTGATCGGGTTGGTCGGGTTTTTGAGCACCCCTATACTTAAGGATACCTACTTTTCAGCAATATTTGATACATATTTTTCACGTTTTGATGTAAATATAGGTGACAGAACGTCAGAACGACAACAAGGCAACGATGTCGCGTAAAGAGCATTAACGAAAAGTAGATGTTAAAGGTGATACTTTCTCAAAAGTCTTACCCTACCCGATGTTTTCATTAGATGTGCATTTTTTCGCATCTACGTGCGCAATCTTCAACTCTATTAATCTAACCTAACTTAAAATATTTTTTATAAAAATTATCTTTTTAATAATATATATTATCTATAAATAATTATTTCATATTATAAAAACATAATAATAATTCTAAGCATTTTATTATACATTAAAAATGTAATAATCGTTTGTACGTGAAAATATGTCACTATTAAAGATTACTAGAAGAGTACTCACACAATGTAGCAAGATACAAATTAATTTTAATATATTTTTTATTTTTATTTTGTCTCAATCGATGTTATAATACGGTTTTATGTGCTTTTGAGAAAACGATAATGATTTTTTATTTTCGAA